AGGAAGGAAGGAAGGAAGGAAGGAAAAGAAAGGAAGAAAGAGAAAGAAAGGAAGGAAGGGAAGGGAAAGGAAAATGCATGGGACCCCTCCCCAACATTCATGGAGCTCAAATAAAGACCCATATACCATGTGACTGAATATTTACAGTTAAAAGTAAAGCTAATAAACAGTTAAGTAAAATATGCTCTAACTCATCACACTGACAGACAACCTTCATAACGACATGAACAAACAGACTTCAGTTTAGGATTTCTGGACTCTTTAGAGTTCCACTCCAGAATGTGATGCTGTGGGGAGCACCGTGTGCTAGTTTCTAGCCCATGTCCTATCCCCTTCTCTTTCCACCCCAGGTGCCACTTAGCACTGCAAGGGGCCTTGTGTGTATGTGTACAGCTATCCCAACCATGTATGTTCAAGATGCAGCTACACCCTCCATCAGCAACCACTGCTTAACCACACCTAAGGAAATACACACCAGCAGTGTGGTTCATATCAGAAGAAAGAAGTCCCAGGGCTGGGCGCGGTGGCTCAAGCCTGTAATCCCAGCACTTTGGGAGGCCGAGACGGGCGGATCACGAGGTCAGGAGATCGAGACCATCCTGGCGAACACGGTGAAACCCCGTCTCTACTAAAAATACAAAAAATTAGCCGGGCGAGGTGGCGGGCGCCTGTAGTCCCAGCTACTCGGGAGGCTGAGGCAGGAGAATGGCGTAAACCCGGGAGCCGGAGCTTGCAGTGAGCTGAGATCCGGCCACTGCACTCCAGCCTGGGGCAGAGGCGAACTCCGTCTCAAAAAAAAAAAAAAAAAAAAAAGAAAAAGAAAGAAGTCCTGCTTTTAGCCCTGCTAGTGGCGGAGCCACCCGGGCAGGGACTTCCCTAAGTGTCTGCCACAGCATCCTCTACTGCTTGAGAGTGCAGCTCAAGGTAAACAAAAAAAAAAAAAAAAAAAGAAAAAAGAAAGAAGTCCCACCTTTTGGCCCTGCTAGTGGCTTGGAGCCACCCGGGCAGGGACTTCTAGGGTCTTATACAGCATCCTCTATAACGGGGTGCAAGCTCAAGGTAAACACATACTCTTGATTCTGTAAACT